GTGGACTACCAACACATAACACCAGGGTTCTGCTGTGTTCACCCGCCAAATATAAACAGAAGGCTAGGTCACCGCCCCACCATCCCGTCGAAAATACGCTTGTGAATATATTAGAAATAAAAATGTAAAGCAAAGCAACGCGAATCAGAAAAGAGACCTTGTCCGCGAGACACATTTCAGGATCCTTCCCATTTTCGTTTCTGAACACGTGAAATATCTCCACCGCGTTGTCTGGAGCTAAAACTGGGGGAGAAAATATTAAAAAAAAAAAAATCCAAAAAACCAAAACAAAACCCCAAACAAACAAAAAACCCCCAAACCCACAGAGTGAAGCGATCTTCTGAGTCCTGGCTCCATTAAGATTAGTCCATGTTCCACACTTCGGGTGAAAGCAGTGACATTGTTTTCGAGCACACCTTTTTTATAGGAGGTGACTTTTGAATGTTTGGATCGACTGAAATAGGTAGGTCCGTATGTAGTGTGCGCCTGAGAATTTTTAGGACACCTTCGCAAATTTTCTCGGACTCTTCCCCTTCTGCATTAGCTGTTACAAATTCTTCTTATTTTGTAATTATCTGAGCACCCCCCCCTTAGCACGCAGTGGGAGGGAGAGAGTTAAGATGTCCTGCGAAACCCGCTCGTAAAGCTGTTTACTTCCATTAGAAACACATGAATATCCTGAAATACAAAGTGTCTTTAAAACTGACTAAGGAATGTTTATCTCAATTAGAAATTGTGGAAGAAAACAGCGGTGACAGGACTGCTCCAAATTACACTTTTGGCAGGTAAATTTCATTTGCTCATGAAAATCAAATTCGATTAAGGCTCTTGCTCCTGCTATCACTTTACTCCCCCGTCTTCCAAGATTCCTGAGCTCTGCAGAATGGAGAGTATTATTAGTAACTAAGATCACCCTCTAGCTCCTCCATTATCAGCTAAGATCTTTTAGCGGGTTTAGAGGGATTTAACTCCGTGACAAACGTATATTTTCAGCAATCAGACACGACTTTTTTTCTTCATGCTCATTAATTAGCTCTAAGCAGTGGATGGAAAACTACACTGGATTTCTTTGGGCAACAGTTTGGGATTTTTTTTTTTTCTGCATTCGTAGGATTGTGATTATCCTACAAGAAATCAGCCTTTTCCTCAGTCGGGCATTCCCGCGGCAGGGCTGTGGAGGGTGCATGTGTGTGTTATCACTCCAAGACTGGTTTGGGGAAAAAAAAAGCCTTTTAGATACTCAGCCGACAACTCCGTATTTGCCAAACCTGACATTAAACTTTTGGTTTCTCTAAGAAAAGTGAAATTTTAGGGCCTCTTTACAAAAAAGAGAGTGGACATATTCCTATCACATAGAGAGTTTAAAAATAATTTATATTTTCACCTTTAAGTCCAATTTGCTTCAGTCCTCACTGCGGCAAGATCATCCTTGGTTTCATAGCGTCAGGAACACACATTGACATGATTTAAAGCACTTGTAAGGGCCAAATTCTGCTCTTTCTTACACCCGTGAAGTGGGCGAAATGTGTCTGACCACTCTCAGTGCAGCCGAGGGAAGAAAGTGCCACTTAATCTTTTTGTAATAGCTGAGATGGGCATGGCCGTGTACCGGGTGACCACTGCCGGATAGGAGCACCAGTAAGAAACTGCCTGGCTATGAAAAGACTCAGGACCTTTCAAAATCCTCCTACCGATCATGGTTGTTCATCGTCTTGCTCCCCAAGGAATTAATACTCGTTTTAGAGGAAACGATTCAACAGATGCATTTCTCTCCAAGTTGTTTTACACTCTATATAAATGCAAAGCAGTTCGGAGGTCTGCATCAGCTCTCCTGGAAATTGCTATGGTTCTACCATACGCTCGTATGTGCTGTATTCTAACTTTATTTTGCGTGAAAAATAAAATAAAAAAAATTTGGAAGAAGCTTTGATTGGTCTGTCGGTTACATGTATGGAAGCATTCAATTATCAAGTAAATTTTCCAAAGACGATCAAATCGAACAGTGGCTTCAGGTAAACTCCTCCTTAATTTTGGTTGATTTATGCAGCACATTTCAAGACTTACGTTGCAAACAGTAAAAGCTCTTCCACAACTGGTAGGGAATGGTATATGTTCAAGGCAGGGGAGTAAGCTCGGGCATATTTTTATCCTGGGTGTTCATTACAGGGTCCATGAGCTTCGAAGAACATCTGTTCTGCTCCATGCCTTCAGCCCTCACAGTTCCTTTCTAATATTTAATGGCAGATCCCCACTAAGGCAGGAAGAAATTATAGCTGAGGAATGAAAATTGGGTATCGCGGGCATCAAAAATAGTTGGCAAGGCTTTTCTTCTCTCTCGGTGTCAACAATTTATTAAAAGTGATTCAAATTAGGAAACCAAAGCAAAGGCGTGAAATCCTATGTCCGACAATAACTTTTTTTCCAGTGGTACATACACACCCTACAGATGTCATTTTGCCTATTTTGAGGAAACATTCCCGAAATCACCCCTACATCATGGCAAGCAGGGTTGTATTACTGCTCTTATCAGGAGTGAAAAGCACGGCCTTCGTCCCTAACTATTAAATAGAGCTGTAGAGCGACGAAGAGATGCAGAGAAGGGAGAAGAGAAAGCTCTCTAATCTAATCTCCCTTCTCCCTGTAACACATAGGGCAGGAACAGCCTCAAGTGGGTAAACAAAACAAAAAAACAACCACTAAAACTAAGCAGACCGGATGCCCCCGCTTTCCCGTCGCCTTGATCCCCCCACACCCCTCCACTATTTGTACGCTTTGCACCGGGGCTGAAAGCTACGGTTTCACATGGCTTCACTCTCCTTATGGAAAGAAGCTTGAAAAGTAGAGCCAGATAAGCGAGAAAACCTCTGAGGCTGAGGGTGAAGGGAGTTTGGAGAGGGGAGGCGGGCTGGGAAGGGGGGGAGAGGGGAGCTGGAGAGATTAGTGTTCTCATGGCTACCCGCTTTTTAACAAATCAGACACATCTTCGGGCTGTGAATGACAGTCCTCACATTGGCTAGACTGCAACTTTCAACTTGACCTTGGCCTCTAGCCGTGCCTAACCCGTATGTAAAACAGCGCTGCCCCATAGAGCTGTCTTCCCTTCCCACTTCTCCCCCCTCGTCCTGCAATGCGATTTTCAGAAGCAGCCTCGAGAAACCAGAGGGAAACACCAATTCATGCCAGTCAAGCAATGTTTGGCCGGGGGAATCCACAGGTTTCAAAACTGGAGCCTGAAAGAAAAGGAAAAATATGCGGGGAATAAATATTTGCTTTTGGCCATGAGGAAGAATGCGGAAAAGAGTATTCGAAGTGAAAATGGGAACTATTTATTTGCTACAATGAAGGGAAAAAGCGGCTAAATGCTGCCAAATTAGCAGGGGATGACAGGACTTCAGGTATCCCAACTCATGGCACTGAAAAAGTACCTTGAAAAAAAAATCCTTGGGCGCCAAAGAGCTATTTCTCATGGCTGGCAACTCTGCGCTAGGCAAGGAAAAGCCTGCTCGGTAACGATGTGCGTCCCGGGATTGCTCTGCTCTTGTAGCCATGCGGGCAAAACAATGCTACAACGTCAATGGGAAGCACAATAGGATAATAAATACGCCGAGCTGTCAGGCTCAAAACAAAGCAACATGCAACTGGGAAAAAAAAATAAGTTTTCAGGATGGGAGTATTTGTGGCTGTTTTGTGCACACGCATGAGGGCTGAGAGCTGTTAACGATGAGATGAACGCTGTTTTAGGTCAAGTTTATTGATAGCTCAGTGATGGAGTGTTTTGAGTTCAAGGTTGTGCGCGAAAAGCTTGCGGGGAAAAGCATCCGCCGAGGTGGTGGAATGATTAAAAATTGAAATTATTTCGTCCTATGAAAAATCTATCACGAAAAGAGAACGCACTTGGTTTGTTTTTCCCTAGCATTCGCTTGCGAAGTGGTACAACCTTCACAAAAAAAAAATATTTTTCAACTGATGATCCCTTTTGTTTTTCCAGCGCACACACACACAAAGAGCTATGTGTCCGTGCACATACTAAATAAGCCGATGTGATATTTTACAGCCGTAAAAGATTCAAGTCGAATTGTAGGCCCGGATTTTATTATTACGGCAACAAATAATACAGCGAAATCGCGATGAACATCCAGTTAACCCTCCCGCTCCCCAAGCCCTTTCTAAAAGACAGTTGTAAATAAAATGGGGGGGTTCCCGGTCTGTTCCTCTTATCTGACTTCTGAGGCTTCGTGGCGAGAAGAGCGAGATGGGTCTTGGGCTTGCGACGGGCGGGAAGGAAGGAAAAAAACACCCAGAAAGGAGCCCCGGGAGGCTCTGTTCCGAGAGCCTTACGCGCCCCGGCGTTGCGCCCGGAGAACGCTCCTCCGCCCGCAGCTTGCGGTGGGCTCCCCGCGTCACCCGGCCGAGGCCCCGCCAGCGGCGGCTCAGACCAGTGGAGGAAGGGGGTCGAAGGGGTGCGGCTCATCTTCCCCCGGAGACGAGGGGAGGCCTTCGGGGTTTCCGCGGCGCTCGGGACAGGGAGGGCCCACGGAAAGCAGCGCAGGGGAGATTCAGGCGGGGTGCCGGGGGGAGCCCTGTACCTCGGGGGGCGCGCCGCGGCAACAACGGGGCCAAAAAGCTCACGCCTCGATGGCGAGGGAGGGCCGGAGGAAGGGGGGGGGGGGGGGGGGGGGGGGGGGGGGCCCCCCCCCCCCCCCGCGTCGCCCGCGTCCCGCGCGGCGGCGGCGGGACCGCGCCGTGCCCGCGCCCGTGCCCGCGCCCCGGGCCGGGACCCGGCCCCGCGCGCTGATTGCGTTATTTAATTATCTCCACTTTATTCCCTCAGATGTTTATCAGCTGCTTTGCATATCACGTGGGGGCGGGCGGGCCAATGAGGGCCGGACTGGCGCGACGCTGGCGCGTCAGCCCTGGTCAAGTCCCGGAGATTGAGTATCTCTTTTTTCAGTCTTTGGGGCTTTTAAAAAAGAGCCACTAGTCTCAATGCGGAGCGGGCTATGACAGCCTCCGTGCTCCTCCACCCCCGCTGGATCGAGCCCGTCATGTTCCTCTACGACAACAGCCTGGATGAGATCAATAAGAACATGGACGGATTTCACGCCGGCAGCAACTTCGCGGCGGCGGCGGCGGCCAACCCCTGCCGCAACCTGATGGCTCACCCCGCGCCCCTGGCCGCCCCCAGCGCCGCCGCCTACACCTCCAGCGAGGCCCCCGCAGCCGGCATGGCCGAGCCCGCTGTCAAGCAGTGCAGCCCCTGCTCGGCCGCCGTGCAGAGCTCCTCCGGGGCCGCGCTGCCCTACGGCTACTTCGGCAGCGGCTACTACCCCTGTCGCATGACCCATCACAACGCCATCAAGTCCTGCGCCCAGCCCGCCTCCACCTTCGCCGACAAGTACATGGACACCTCGGTCTCCGGCGAGGAGTTCACGTCGCGGGCCAAGGAGTTCGCCTTCTACCAGGGTTACGCCGCCGGGCCCTATCAGCCGGTGCCCGGTTATCTGGATATGCCCGTGGTGCCGGCCATCGGCGGCCCCGGGGAGCCGCGCCACGACCCCCTGCTCCCCATGGACAGCTACCAGCCTTGGGCCATCACCAACGGGTGGAACGGCCAAGTGTACTGTCCCAAGGAACAGAGCCAGCCGCCTCACCTCTGGAAATCCACCCTCCCGGGTAATACACCTGCATGGCTCCCCCCGTCCCTTCTTTCCTTCTTCCCCCGCTCGTTCCTCCCGGGTATCCCCCCTGCAGGGCTCCGGGATCACTCTCCAGACTGACCCTTCCCCACTCCTCCCGCGGTCCCCTGTCCCATCTTGCCCCGGTCAGCACATGCCCCGGCGCCGCTGAAACGGCACCGGTGCCGCCCCCTGCCCCCCGCCGGCGCACGGCACATCCCGCCTCGCCTGGCCGGCCCCGACGCCGGCCCCGGGAGAGGAAACAGCTGAAAAGGGCCGCGGGAAGGTCTGTGGTATTATTTTCCATAGACCACGGAGCACGCAGGCTGGGTAAATCGCTGCAGCCCCTCTCTATCCTTCCCAGAGCCCCTGTCCGGGCTACGTGGGTTTGTTATTATTTGTCTGTCTGACAGAAGCGAGCCTTTCCCTGCCTAGAAGCTGTCTGCGGAGGCCAGGAAAGAGGAATCCCCAGTGCTGAGCCGGGCATTAGTAGCTAAACCGGAGCGGGGCAGGCAGAGGAGTGTGCTGTAACTCTAACCCTTATATCAATTGAAGATGTCCTAAACGGTTCGAGCGATTTTCTAACGCTTGCCCGTATGGTTTTTCTGTTCCAGACGTCGTTTCTCATCCCTCGGATGCGAACTCGTACAGACGTGGAAGAAAGAAACGAGTGCCTTACACAAAGGTCCAGTTAAAAGAACTCGAAAGGGAATATGCTACAAATAAATTCATTACCAAAGACAAACGGAGGAGGATTTCGGCGACTACAAATCTATCAGAGAGACAGGTCACAATCTGGTTCCAAAACAGGAGGGTCAAAGAGAAAAAAGTGATCAACAAATTGAAGACTACCAGTTAACGGATTAAAAATGGAGAAGCAGTAATTCAAGAGTTTCAGAACTTTTTTTCGTGTTCAGATTAAAATAATTATTAATAATAATTAAAAAGAAAAAAGACAATGAACCTCTTCTTTCAGAACAAGAGATCTGTATCTTTGGATTATAGCTTTTCTTTCTTTCTCTTTTTTTTTTTTTTTTTAATAATGCTGTAGCGAATGGTTAAAATTGACAGCTCTCCTGAAATCCCAAACAGCCAGCCAGTATCACTGACAGACTGTAAAATCCACATGCCCAACCCCGAGAGATACACTTTCAATTAAGACACGATTTTCTGAGAAACTTGTAAATACTTCTACGACCTTACTGTTTGAGAGAAGACTCTTTGTGGCCACGATGCGAGAGCTGGTTAACGTGAGGAGGTCGATGTGGACACATGATCTGGTTTTCTTCCATTGCAATCCAAACTGTATCTTGAATGACTGCTCAGGTAAACCATAGTGAAAAAAAATTACAATTACTGTATGTTTTTAAACAATGCATTTAATGTCAAAAAGTAATAATAAACCTCGAAGGTACTGAATAAGGATTTCAGAGACATCAGTAATGAAGGAAGTTCTGTGGAGAATCTATCTTGATAGTAAATTTAAAACATCGCAAATTAGTGGGGATAGAAGGGAAAATATTTGCTTGGAGATGTCTTTCATTTTTTTTTTATTATTATTACTTTTATTTTTCATTGATGATTTCTTGTCATCTGAATTGGTGGGGTTTTTTGTTATTTTGGTTTTTTTAAAAAAAATTTTTTTCTCCTGCAGACCATACAATAGATACATTTTAAAGGACTCTGCCTGTTTTAGACCTCAAATAATCTTCAAGAATTTATATTCTAGGTCCCCAGAAATTTTAGTATTTGAACATTGGCATTTCTTTACAGTAGAAAAAGAAATTCCTGGGGAAAAAATACCCAAGAACTTTGAACTGAAATACATTTTTCCCAGAAGTATTTTGATTTATATAATCTATATTTGATTTATAAGTAATTAGTCGTTTCTCCTTGTTTATTGTCTGTTATGAGGCCGCAGTAGAACATTTAGGGATTCTTTTTACAGCACCTTTTAATCAAATCAGTTATTTCAACCAGCACATTATTTTGTTTTTATTCACTATAAGAAGCTATTTTGTAAATAAAAAAAAATTCAGCGCACTGTGAAAATGTACTTATGCACCCTTTTTTTTATATATATTTCTACTGAAAAATGAAAACCCAAGACGTGTAGAGGTATAGTAGTATTAATACTGTTAATAAAATAGTCACTGTAATAAAATCTGAAAGAAATACTCTTTTTTATTTTTCCATTCCTACGCGAATTTAATAAGAAAAATATAATGTATCTGTCTTACAATTGTAATAGTGTTGTCTCCCATTATGTAGCTTATGCATATATGGTGTATTTTTGTTTTATTTTTCTTGGCAGTGTGTGTCTGGGGACAGGCATGCCTGATAAACAGCGTTTCTAAACTATAAATGTTTCCGTAATGTTAAACAGTGGTTTTGCAGTGAGGCTAGGGGCCAGGGGGAGGAAGAGCAGGGTGATACAAGCACAGCGCTGCAGCCCTCGCCTGGAAATGGAGGCCGGCGCCCGGTCCCTGGGACGAGGGCACGCTGCCCAGCCCGCCGATGCCTCTACGGGGAGGTGGCGGGGGGGCTGCGTGGCGATGACAGCACGGGGAAGGCCCGAAACCTTGACCTTGAGGGGAAAAAAGCCGATTTGTGACCTTGACTTTTGACAGCTCCCGGCGCCGGCGGCATCCGCGGGCCGACAGCGCCACCTCGTGGGCAGCACCGCACCCGCACCCGGCCGCGCCCGCGCAGCATCGTGGCCGCGGGCGGGCGGGCGGTGCAGCGGGCACCGCAGTGTGTGTGTGCCGGGCGGGCAGAGAGGGGAGAACGCCGCCGGAGCAGGTCATGCTTCCCGCGCTCCCTCTCTCTCTCTCTCTCTGGCAGTGGCGAGTCTGAACTGCGAGTGAAACTCAGTGCTAAGCCGGTGCCCGGCCGGGGGGTGCCGGTGCGGTGCAAGGAGCCGCAGGCCGGCCCGTGGCGGGTGATTTTGGTCGGGCACAAAGAGAAGTTTGCTTTCGCCGCCTATCTCCTGTGGTGGTCTGTAGCTCTAATTAGAGCTATTGGGGAACCTTTACGGTGCATTTAGAGGGTATCATATACCGCGCTAGCTGTGCGCTTCTAGCCTTACATTTCTGAAATTCAAAAGGACCCACCTCTGCAGGGATCAGCGCAAAGCGATTTCCGACCCTCAGATCTGACTGTAACGCATTCGTGCAATAACTCTCATGAAAACTACCTGCAGGAACAGGATTTGTTTTCCAGGAGGCTTTCGTGTCGGGGGCTTTGCCCTCCGTTCGGGATTTTAGCCTTTCCCCTGTGTGCAGCCGCACAGGGCTGCGAACTGCTGTGTTTCCTCGGGCCGCGAAGCGCTGTGGTTTCTCAGGCCGCGGGAAATCCGCGGCCACGGAGCGTGGGAATTTCGGCTGCATCCCTTCAGAGGTCGGTCAGGGACTTTCGGAGCGAGATTTCTTCCGTCCCGCTGCGAAAACAGCCGAGGTGTGTTACATTAATGGCAGGCTGTTTTCAGGCCATGCAGTTCGACTGTGCTTTGGGGTGACAAGGTGTCAGCCCCCTGTGACAAGCACCGGCCTTTCAGCGGTCCGCGACGCCGTGGGAGGGACCACGGGTAAAGATCCATGGGCGCAACACCAGCCGAAGGAGCGATAGATAACTCGTCCCTGGCGGCCGGGCCTTGGGCTGCCCACGGGCGAAGGGAGCTGGGTGAGACCCCTGTCGCCACTGATGAGCCAGTAGTCTCCACGACCTCTGCAGTAGCTCTGTGGCCTAGGATTTTCAGCGGAGCTGGAGCAAGCAGAAAACTCCCGCACTGGAGTTACTGGGGCGGCGAGCAGCCGCTTCTCCCAGTTCTACCCTGCTCGGAGGTCTGGGGCTGTGGGACCTGTCTCCCACTGGCCATACCTGATGTCCGCGGGCAGTCTGCTTCGGCTGCAGGCGCGGGACAGCTGCCTGTCCGCCGCCTCATTGCGATGCTTTCTCCTGAAGGAGCGAAATTGCCTGATGAAAGCCGCTAGTGAATTACACTTGTTCTTGCTCCGAGTAATAATTTGTTTATTCCGTTGTATTTAGCAACCCGTATATTTGTTGCATGAGACGCTGCAAATTACATGTACTGCAGGTCGGAGTTGGGGGTGATATGTAGGATTCAGTCCTCCGTATCTTAGGCTCGATCTTCTATTTTCAGAGTAGAAGAGCCCTAGAGCGATATAATTCAGGGACGCCTTGAAAGAAACCCATAGTGAGAATATGGCCGACATCAGTATAATTGCAGCTGGATTTTTATTTTATTTTTTTTTGGGGGGGGGGGAGTTGGTTGATTTTTTTTTTTATTGTGTGTAAGGTAATTTTTAATCGGAGCTAGCATCTGAAGATCTGAAGATTATGTTTTCAAACCGAACTACCTACCGTTCAAATCTGCTAATCATTTCAAGACAGACCGTGGATTAGCGAAAATAAATTCCCACTACTGTTCAAATAGCTCAGCAGCATATATATTTCACAGGGGTAAAAAGGGGAGCGTTTGACTCGCGATCGCTGGCAGGAGTAAGGTAACATTTTGGATCTGACCCCTGCTACCATATAAGTCAGCGTCGAGGCTCCGAGGCTCTCGCAGGAGGAGTAGGTCGTGTTTCCCGTCCCTGTAGCGGAGAGACACAGTCGGGGGAGCAGGATCAGGCCCACGGCGAACCGGTGGCGAAGCCCCCTCTCCCTCCGGTGTGTCCCCCCCAGATGCCCGGGCATGCGGCGGCCGTGGCGGTGGCTTCGCGCCCAGTCCCGAGAGGACGGCCTCTCCTCTCCGAACGGCTGTCTCCTCGGACCTGTCTCCAGGCGCGTACCGCGAAACATCTCTCGGTGCGAGTGGCTTGATCAGGTGAGTTAAGGCCGGTAACTCCATGCCTTGCTCTCTGGGGTACCGTGAAGAGGGGACTGAGGGAAGCGATGGTGCCCGGAGGAACCCCCGCGGCCGTGGGGCGATTCAGGGCACCGAGACGGGCGTGTCTGCGGTTTTCCGAGTCGAGAAAGATTCCCTGTCTGTTGGTCTTGCGTGCACTCCCACCCTCCCTTCGGTCGTCCTGCGTGTCTGCCTATCCACGGCTGCATCCACGCAGTCCTCCATCCCTCCATCCCTTCACCGAGTAGATGTGGCCTCGGAGCGTTGGGGAGAGCGGGTATGTAGGTGTGTGTTCGTGTTATTTATTGCCTTCATTTACCGTCCAAAAGCTGTTGGCACATACATTTTCAAGTACAAATTGCCGTTGTATTACATATTCCCCTCTTACCAATCTGCCGACAGCGTCCTAAAATACATCCCTAATGTGTTTTACAAGTGAATATATCACCTACGAAAATAATTAGGCAACGTGATACATTAATGCACGACGTCCATCCCTGCACGCGATTAAGAGAGAATTATTATTTATATTCCCCGTGTTATGGAGAGTGTTTTAAAATGGGGGGGGGGGGGGACGACGACTTACTGTGCCTGGTTTGCTGTGTAGAGTGCATGTGCAAAGAGTTTTATTTGCAAACCTTAAAAAAATGTGCTGAAAGAAGAATTTGAAAGGAAAACAAACAGAAAATTAAAAACCAAAACGTATATAAACAAAGTAGGGTCTTTATTTTCTCATCTTCCCTTGAAATAAAAATGTTAGGTATAAGATTTTAGCACATGTGGAAAGAGAGGCAAGGGACAGAGGAAGTAAGTTAGTACTGCATATTTAGTGTATTAATTGGAGCATTAATATCAGAGCAACATATCTTGAGTAGTGTTAACACACAATATACTTAAAGACAAAAAAACCCCTCAGTTTCACTCCAACCTTCACTTAATCTAGTTCACTTTCAGTCTTGGATTCAGAAACGTATACTTCAATTCCCAGTATCTGGGAATGTTAGTTTGTAATTGCCTAACTCTTGGAATCCTTCATCCCTCAGACTTCCCATGGGCAGAAAGTGTCCTTAGGTCTTGGACACGGACGGACAGGTACAACAAATGTTGTATTATTGTATTTTTTCCCCACCAAGTGAATAATCTGGTATTTAATCTGTCCCCGACTCTAGCACTTGGCAGTAGCAAAGGTGGTTTGCTATGGGAAATAAACTTTGACAGGAGCATATTTCCGAAAAAGAGTAAGTATAACTGTAAAGTTATATTTTTTTTTTCGGCCGCATTTTGCTCGGAAATATTCCCACTTAAAAAACCTGGAATGGCCCCTAAAGCAAAGGGGGGGAAAATGTGATCCTTCATATCGAAATGTTCAGAAAATCACCCATTGTTTCCAGAATAACCACTTTTTTTTCCTATGAATTTGAACGGGTAAAAATCTCGGTCATTAGTCTATAAATTAGTTATTTTAAAAAAATATCAATGGCTTAAATAAAACCCCATTCCTGGTGCATTTCAGCATCCTCCGTGGGCAGCATTAGCAATAAAATCAAGACAGCGTTTAATACAAAAAAAATATTGGCAGGCGCTAAAAGGCCGTTTGTCGCCATTCATAACATTTAGATGCGTTTTAATGCACTTTCATGATGATTTGAAGAGATGGTCTTGCGCGTTCTCGGAGAGTAAAGGAGTTCAAAAAGAAGAGGGGGGAGGCAACTGGGGGGTGGCTTTTCGGGGGGGCCGTGGGGCAGTGGATGCAGGGGACGGGCCGATGTGCCGCGGACGCGGCTGCAGGAGTCCGACCGCGCGTGTTTTAGCCACGCCGTGAGCCTCTCCCTGCCCCCTGGGCCCCCTCGTCCTCGAATGCATTTGATTCATGAACTAGGGTACGAAACGCAAATGTTCATTACGTCTTTCCTCCCTCCCGCCTCCGCACCCCCAAAAAGAATTTTTTTTTTCTCCTGTGAATAGCTTCAACATGGCGTGCTGAAAGGCAGAAGCTTTGCCCGTTCCTAGATCTGAACTGTGATTAAACATCCCCAAAGACAGCATCTCTCTTCCTCCTGTCGCTTCCCCCTCCCTTCCCTCCCCTTAGCGTAAAGCGCCCTCTTCTACGTAGGAAAGGTCAAGTCCTACAACGCACAACCCACGGTCATTACTGTACTGTGACCCGGGGTGTACTGGGGAGGAACGGCCGGGTGTCTCGTGATCAAAAACACTGGGACTTTTTTTTTTTTTCTTCTCTCTTTCTCGTACGATGGGAATCCATGGAATTAAACAGCGTTTTAGCCTCCTGCAATCACCTCTTGTGCTAATCGCCATCGGAAATCCTAAGGGACTAGCAGAAACAGAGAGAGAGGGGGAGACAGAGAGAAGGGAAAAAATAGCTATAATAGCAGTAGTAATAATTACAGTAATAATCGTCATTAGCCTGTGATATCGCTGCATTTTGCCTGAAGCTGGCAGGAAGGACGATGTGCCCTAGTGGCTAGATTTCTCTCCATCTAAGGTCAGACCAACAACAACTAGAACAAAAAAATATAACCCCCCAAATCAACAGTAACCCAAGTCACTGAGAAATCGAGAAGGAATATTTGGTGGACCAGGTATATTTAATCTGTAAGAGAGGAAACAAAAAAAAGTGCAATCCTTCCTCACTGATCTGGAGGTCTACAGCCCAGCGCGGGATCCTAGCTGTCAGTCACCGTGGGGATATATTTTTGCACAGGCGAGAGACTTCTGGATGCTGGGGTAAGATTTTCATGCTCTTCCTGGAAGCGGCTGAATGTTTCTCCTGTCCCCCTGCTCGGCGGTGAACTATGCAAACAAGCCAACAGCAAACACCCACCCGGTCCCCTCGGCAAAGCCCCCCGCATGATTCGAGCACAGTCATTCGGAAGGCCTTTGTGGAGAGTTTCCCAGGCCCCTGCTCTCCCCTAGCCCACCCACTCACTTCACTCCTTTTCTCCCACGGTGTATGAGGCCAAAGTGCCGCTTCTGCTGCGGGGACCTGGGTGAAGGCGTCTGCCTGGGCTGATGCTGATAGAGCCGAAGAGCCGGTTGTGAAAAGTAAGACTGCTTCTCCTAGCTTGGTTGCCGGCTACATCTTTCCCAGGGATGCTACTTCCCACTCTAGCATAGGTGGGAAACAAAGAAGGCTCTTGGCAGGAAAGTGCACCAAGAGAGGCTGGCGTCAGAGCCCAGGACGCGAGCAGACTTGTAGATAGAGCTGCTGGTTGCTTGGCTTTGTGCTGCGCCGTGTTGTCTTGCAGAGTTGGGTCAGGCTGAGTTGAAAAGCGTCTACTGGATTTTATCTCCGGTTGACTTATTCCCGTGTGCTTGCCTCCAAAATGATTTTAATCATTCAAATGCCGGGGAGGAGGGTGGATGACTGTGTGTGGAAGAAAAACGAGGAAGGATGTTTAACCTGTCTGCTTTTCGCCGTTGTTTGTGTGTATCCAGAGAGAAAAACGCCAGCCGGGTGTTGTAACCTGCCGGTTTAAATTAATCTGAATTTAGTCGTAATTGCCTCGATTTGTACCCACTAAGCAAAGTGCTTTCCTTTATTCCTGATAGTATAAAACGGGCTTTATGGTCGGTTTGGGTGAGAAGTAATGGAAAAGCAGTCTATTTTAAGCCTGGTTTTAGCCTTCGAGATGCTTTCGGGTAGGCATAAAAAAAGACGGGTTTTAATACAAAACAATCTTGGATGGGCCTCGTCTGCAGCTTCATCTGCGGTTTATATTTAAACATGTGAAAGTTTGTAAATACCGTGCTGTATGAACACTTGATGGGAAAATAAAACTGAAAGAGAAAGAACGAGTAACCCCCGCACACCACCTGGTCCGATTCGGGGTGGTTTGCCCAAATTCCCCGGGGGTGTGCAGTGTGGATCTTTCATGCTTACACGCCACGATTTCTGGAAGAAGTGTTATTAGTGTCAGCGTTTGTTGAAAAGTCGGGAAAGGGAAATAAGCGGGATAGTGAACGGGCTTCCACGCCGGCATAGGCAAGAGCAGCCATATTAGGCTTAGAGGAGAGCTGGTTTTTATGGGTATCTTTGCGTGACATACGAAAGAACAGACAAGAAACGATCCTTACAGAGCCGGCTGAGCTGTACGTGGGCATACGATTGCATCCTCAACTGCAGCACGTATTTTAAACTCATGTTATACAAATAGCTTCCTATAAAGGTTACACAAGTACAGGTACCTTAATATAATACAATTCTGAGAGTCCATCAAAATATGAAGTTGGAGCTTTGAAGTCGCTGATTTGACAGCCCCAGTATAGTGATACTTCCTGTACCCGCCCCCTAAAACAAGCATTGATGAAGAAATGTCTTTACTTCGGTGGGTTTCACGATATGTGAATATGGCTCTCCTATAAAGTTAGCAGAGTGCTACAGTAAAATCTGATGTGTTTCTTGGCGAGATGGGCAAAATAATTAAATAAAGATTTGAAATACCTTTATAAATCATTGTTAAAATTCAATGTGCATTAGAGAGAATCTTATATCCTATAAAATTCAATTTAGCTTAGAATCCCAGTCAATTATCTTGACGTGAGTTTCTATGGCAAAGTGTGGATCTCGGCATCACAGGAACAGTCTAGCTACAAGAGGCTGGTCTCGGCGTTAAGACATTTCATTTTCTGTAGCTTTCTGCTCTTAATCTAGAGGACAATTTATATATCTCATAATTCTTGTATGTTGTTTTCATTCTGAATTGGTAGGTAGAAAAATGCTCGTTTGTCAGAGGCAATGCGGCAGAATTTTTTTTCCTCTCACTGAATATGTTTCCTAGATTAACAAATCTAAGGTCAAGTTCAAGGCATCAGTTGTAGTAATACTTTTAAATCTAAGTCTAGATGCGAATGTTTTGGTGGACTTTTTTTTTTTTTTTTTTTTAGAATAAATTGGCACTCCCGGCTTTGCATGGGAACATCTCCTGGGATATGGCTGTCCACAGGGGATAACTGTGTCGTTTAATAGCACCGTACTTTCAAGGGATCACTGGAGATGTTCCCCTAAACCGCTCCGCTTAATTCTTCATAAAATACATCGGCACGAAAGGGGACTGGTACCTGCTTACTACAAACGGTGCTAACGACACGGTGCTTTGAGAGTCTGGGTGGGAGTTGGTGGAAAGTGCCTGCTTTTCTGTGTCGGCGGATTATAACCAAGGAAATTTGCTTCTGCACCAGTTTAGAGCCCGCCGCCGGTTATAGACACCCCTCTCCTGCAGATTAAATTTGTCAGAAGTCTCTTGCACCTGTATCTGGATAGATGGGGGGGGGGGGGGGGGGGGGAGTGTGTGTACGTTTTCACGTGTTGGGAAGATCTCGGAGAGTGTTCAAGGGGAGAAAAAGAGACATTTATAGACGCATCGTCAGTTAATCAACTTCTGATATACTAGTCAGTCTGAGAAAATATCTTCTTCCGTCCGCCTTATTGCCAAACCCGCCACTATTGTTTTTCAGGAGCAAGCTCCGAGCAGTAAATATAAACAACATTTTAGAGGGGTTCAGTGCCCTGGAACCCGGGGACACAGGGCTGGGGCACCGGGGGGTGAGGAGCTGCTTCTCTTGAAAAAAACCCCGATATATTTCGGCTTGTTGCAGCTACCAGAGTCAGGCTGTCTTCAAAGAGAGCCCTCGGAGAGGGCCCTTTTTGCTCTGATGAGCAAAATATCATGATTAGTCGCCAACAACGGGTAGATCTCTGTAGGTTCGTAGTCGTTTAATCCTAATATTCAAATTAGACGGGAGACTTGCTAGAAAAAAAAAACAACAACAAC